ATTATGCAATTATACCTGGATGGTATGATTATAGGTGGTATTATTTTCATTGTTTTCTGTATTTTTGGACATGTTTACAAATAAATAGGTGCTATTTTTATACTTAGAAATTAGTTATTTAAAACTATGTTAAAATAGATTTGGGTAAGAACCACTAACCACGGCGTCCCAAAGCTTAACATCTAAGTTAGTCTAACAGGGAAACGAAGTGGCGGGGAGGCCGTGGTTACGAAGGTGCAGAGTAAGGAAACACAATTGAGCACCACACACTGTTTTCCGTTTACAGTGATGATACCAATACTTAGCCCACCATTCTCTTTATTCCAAGTATTGGGCATACAGAGGCAGAAATACTTGGAATTTAAGGATCCTTAAAACAGGAGCTGCTAATGAGTCCATTTCAAAGCCTGACTTGGTCAAGCTTTGGTCTGGAAGTTTACACCTGTCACCTCCTTTACAACTCATAGGCGGTCTTGTTGAAAGCCCCTTAGGCTTCCATCTTCCACCTGGTTTAGAGGACAAGTTCCCAACATACTCATATACTAGTTCTACCAGAGACCCTGAGAGACAATGTGGAATTTAAGAGGAAGCACTTTAGATGACAAACTATAGTGACGACAACTATTTTCCCAAGAGGAAATGTAGTTTTCCAGCATGCCGGCTTGGAAGGGCCAGGTGTAAAGGGCAGTCCTCATTAAAGCTACCGAGCTGGTTCTTACCTCTGTCTGTACTCGGAGCTGGTTCGAAAGACCTTCTTTGTCCTGTAGTAACCTCCTTTCAGAGTTCTTGAGCTTTTCCAGTACATTTTTCACCTCTAATCGTTCCTTCCGAAGTTCTCCAACCCCCTCTGACTGACCCAGGAGCTCTCCTTTATGATGTCCTAGGGACTTAAGCTTTGCATTTTTGTTGGGGACCACGTGGGTTATAGCAGCTTTGGGAACTAATAACCTCACAGCTTCCACTTCCACTGCTTTCTCGGTGAGAACCTTCCCCAGCTGCAGAACTCCTGGGCTCTCTGACGGAACAGCTTTCTTTCGTGGACTGGGAGGGACGTGGCGCTTTACGGGGTGGACTCCAGAGGTGACTTCAGACTTAGGGGGTGCCTCAGTTTCCATTCCATCTCCTGCTCCCCGGATGGGGGCTGAAATGAGGGTGGCTGAAACAGGGAAAACGACACCAACTACTCACTGAAAAGAAATGCTGGGAAAATGCCAAGACACGCTTTATGCTACATTGAGAATTACGGTGCTAAAAAGAATGGGAAAAGTTCAGAGTAAAAAGTACTTTTGAAAACAATCATGTATCAAAGAAAGATGAACAAGGTCCTACAAGTTCCAGCTTCCCTTAAGTAAATGATTTCTCTATCGGTAGAAAATGCGAGATCTGGAAGCAGGGTATTTGGTTCTGACTTCTACTTTGCTAATATGGCGCTAGGTAAACAATTTACCCCTCCGTGAATCTGTTTCCAAATCCGCACAATGGGAGACGGTAACCACTCTGTGCTGCAGGGCTGTGCTAAGAAAGAACAGAACACGATATGATCAAGTGCCTGGCACACTGCTGCTTGAGCAACGCTGACCAGTGTCCACTTGTATACATTTTTTGGGCACCCCCGGTGTGTATATATTTATGATTGTTATATATTTTATATATACATCTTCAAAACCATACAGGAAACAGAATTCCTAGTTTTATTTTAAAAAGCCAAAGTATGTCCTTAGTCTCAATTACTATATCAGCACTATGTCTTGATAAATTAAATACTAATTACTAATTAATACTAATTAATTAAATATTAATGATATTTTGCTATAACCCATGCAGTTAGTAGAACAATTTGGTAAGAGTAATAATAAAGTTTTATTAAAATTAGACTATTCTTAAGGATTTCTGAGGTGTAAAGCCATATTAAAAGAGGGAATACATAATATATAAATATTTCAAATTCAAGCAAAGACTATCATCACCTTGGTTCCTGGATCCTGGCCCTAGAAATAGAATTCACCATCAAAGAACCACAGGAAATGGTAAGCTTGCTCAGGATAATGTTAAGAATATAACTATGAAAAAATTACCTGTCAAGTTGATTTATAGCAAAGGAAATACCTAATAGCATACTTTCCTTAGGTTTATTTATTAGGTTTCTCTATTTTAATAAGCTTATTTTTCTTCATCCAAACTTTGTTATATAGATACAGAAACTTCAGAGTAGAACAGATTATCGTCAGACATAGTCACATAATTTCTGGTTTAATAATACAATATTTTTAAAAACATTATATTATTAAAAGATATTAAGAAAAAATTACCTATATTGTCATCACCCTAAAATAACTTTTCATTATTTTAAATTTCTTCAATATTTTTATATACTTACAATTAACTTTATAAGCTTAAGCTTAATATATTTTTCTATTTTGCTTTAGTAATATTATTCATTTTAATGACTACAATATTCCTTCAAGTTAATATACATTATCTACTTTTAATTATGATTCTATTGTTGGGAATTCAGACTTTCCAGCTTTTCACTGTAACGCTTTAGTGAATACTTTTATGACTACAGATTTTTCTTAACTCTGAATTATTTCTTTTGAATCAATTCCCAGGAAGAGAATTAATGTGTCACATGAAGATCTGTACTGTCAAACTGCCTCACAAAATAACTCTACCAATGTATCAGTAGATCCATTACTTATTGTCCTTGTTTAGTTTTGTGTTTTTGCATGCTCAGGACCTATGGTTTAATACGATACTTCAAAGTAAACAACAATACATGGAAAGCGTTTAGAATGGTGTTTGGCACAGTGAGCACTCATTAAATGTTAGCTCCCATTGCTTTTACTATTTTATTCTTTAAAAACATCCCTAATAAACACTGGATCTTAAGGGGAGAATGAAAGCTTAATTAATTTCATAAAATATAATTCTGGCTTTTAATCTTTTATGCTAAAATCATACAAAGTTATGTCACTAGAGTCGAGGACTATTTTTTCATTTAATAGATTTTTGGGGGAATTGTTCCTATGTATTTAGTAATGTACTCAGAATCCTAATATGTTAGTTAGACAGGAAGTGGAAAGACATAGGGGCATAATTAATTTGGTCTACTTTAAAAAACATTTTAGGTTAGAGAAAATGTTTTGTCATTTATATAATCAGTGTTACCTAAAACATCCCTTGGGCTTTAGGACTGACTCCATTTTCAAACAGATGACAGTGATTCCTCAAGGTGAAATAAAGGGTTTGATGTCTTAGTTCATGCTGTGACACAGGGCACGGAGAAGGAGAATTTCTATACTGTTTTAAAAATAAAGGTCTGTTCCCATGTTCTTAAAATCTGGTTTTAAGTTTGTCTAACTCTGTCTATTGCAAATTTAATTTTATTGCTAAGACATTCTGGAAGTTAAGAAGTAATGTAGAATCATGAATTAACTACAGATTGAAACATTAATGGGTATTTAACAGAAATCTCTTTTCAAACAAAATATGTCACAAAATTCCAATCATGAGATTCAACCAACTTGGTTCCACCTGAATCTACCCGTAACTTTATTTAAAATGTTCTACTTACTCAAGCATTTCTGAGCACTGAAGTTGTACTACAATATATATCACATCTCTGTAACAACAGGCTTCTAGCTAATGTACGCGGGCAAGCAGGCACGTGGGAGTCGGGGCCGTACCTTTTCTCACCCAGCAGTTTACCTTTCGTAACTCTCCTTCTCCTTGTGACTCACACAGAAACCTTTATTACATATGCAGCAGGCACAATCCAGGGCACATTCATGAGTGGGCAGACAATGATGGATGGTACCAGCGCCATGAGTATGAGTAATGCTTAGGTAAAGCAACACATCAACCCCTGTTCCTCTCCACTCTTTGAAGGGAACCAGCCAAACAAATTCTTGTAATGGAGGTCAAATAGCGAGAAGCATAGAATTCTTTTTTATTTGCGCTAACCCATAGCTTAAGTGGGATTCAGTTAGTGTTCTCTATTACCAAGCTGATCACAAGTGTCCTGAGGAGGCCTGAGGGCTGTCATGTGCCAACCCCTGCTCTAGATGACTGAGGCAAAAAGAGTATGATTTTATACTCTCTCATGAAACATTTGTGCTGTAAATCTATGAAGACAGACACTCCAAGTCAGAAAGAACACCAGAATAACTGAAGGCCCTGCTGCCACACACTGTGTGACCTGAGGCAATTCCGTGAACGTGGCCCTCCTCTCATCCCTCAGTGTTTTCAGAATAATACAAATGCCAGAGTGTTTTAAAATAATTTCTCTCGCAGACTAGACTGCTGGGAGCTCCTCAGGGCAGGGGATGCCTCCCAGTCTTTGCATCATCAGCTTAATGAAATGGTGCTTGGCACAGAAAAGATGAGTAATTACTCACTGAGGCTCGTAACGTTAACACGTCCCCTAGAAGACTTCATTTTAACATCCAATAACTAACTCATTTAAAAACGGCTTCATTTTTTCCCCTCTACACTAAATCATTAGTTAATAACTCAGTTAGTTTGTTCTGAAATAAACTTTTCAGAACATGTTTTATAGCAGATTCAGCTATAAAACAGTCAGACAAATTAGGGATCGTCACGTGGTAATTCTAAATCAATATTCTTTTACATGTCACCAATATCACTTAATAAAGTTTAGTTAGTATTAAATGAGAAAAGTATGCTATGGATTTTGGACCTGAGAGTGAGGCCCACATTTATGACATGGAATCCATTCTTTTTGTCGCAGGCTCCATGAATCACGAGTCCCCTGGTGAAACGAGTGTGGGGGAAGCAGCCGACTGTATCTCTGAAGCTCCACAGGGTACATTAGTATATTAAGGGCTCTGAGAGGTCCTGTTGATTATAAGCTCTCCTTTCATCCAGCATTTCCCAAATTTATCTGCCCATGGAATCCTTCTTCACCTAATACCTATCATTCCACACAATTAGTATTAAAGTTAGGCTATTTTATGGAATTTTAAATATTTAAATACCACAGACGTTCCTATTTGGTCCATTTTCACTAAACTGCCTGACTCTAATACATTTAATTTTAATTTTGATATTGCTTCTAAGAAAAGTTCTGGATTAAATTTCTAATTTTCTAATTGTTCCTATTTATTGCATGTTCCCTTTCAAAAACAGCCCTAGCAGCAAGGATACATCTCTCTAATAACAGTATTGCTTGAACGTCTGCTGAGAAGAAGTTCTGTCATTGTAAACCAATCTCGCATCTCTTCTGAGGCAGTTACAGGAAGTGCAGACAACTGACAAATGTCAACCATGAAATACAAGTACCTTCTGTTCACTAATTATATTAAGTAGGAACAGGACAAATAGCTGAATAATCTACCTTACTGGAAAATGAAGATCAAATGAAATAATGTATGTAAAAATGCATTATAACTCTAATACTCATTACAAACAAGCAATAAAATAAAAATGATTAAATTTCACAGAGGCCCTGCAATAATTAACTTTTAATCACTAATGATAATATTGTATTTGATTTTTGGTTTTTTTGCCAAGCACCATGCTAACTGCTTTTGCATTAGTTACCATTTAATCGCTCTGATTTCCCATTAACCCCCCGTTTATTATTTTCATTACAGTTTGTGGTTTGCTTATTCTAATACTATAAAAGTCACATAGCTAATGAAACTCAATTAAATATTTACTGGCATGATCTTCTCTTCCTTGCTTCCTAAACATAGCCAACCCCCCTTTAAAGAGTTTGCTTTTGGAGGTCAGCTGCTACAAAGCTGGCTTCTAGAAAGCAGTTTCCCATCTCTCACTGACAGCCCCAACCTCGAGAACTCACTCCATCCCAGAATTACCTGAATTAGGACTGCATTTTGGGACATGCTGAGATTGTAACCTATGTCTAAGTGAAGATAGCATGCTGTAAGGGTCCGAATCCAAGGGAAGAGAGATAGAGGTAGATTTGGAAGTCATTCTAATACACAATTACTGAAGCCCTGAGCGTAGAAGAGAAAGAGGGCTGAATAACAATATTTAAAAGATAAACCAGAAGAGGAGGAGGATGAAAAAGAAACAGAGACACTATAGCTAGAGCAGTGATGTCCAACAGAACTTTCTGCAATGCTGGAAATGTCAGTAGCCACCAGGCACATGTGGCCACTGAGCACCTGAAGTGTGGCAAGTGGGACTGAGAAGCTGAATTTTTAATTTTAAAAACATTAATTTAAACTCAAATAGACACATGTCATTAGTGCCTTGGACAGTGACAGTCTCCAGAGCAGGCTGAAAATGAGAATGATGTCATGGAAGTCAAGGCACGGAAGTATTTCAAAAGGCGGGAGAGGTCAGCAGTATGAAATGCTATCGAGAAGACAAGCGAGGCAAGACTAAAAAGTAACTTGTAGTTAGCAAGTGTTATGAGTTGAACTGTATTCTCCGCAAATCTTCGTAAGTAGAAGTCTTGACCCTCCATACCTGAGAATGTGACCTTATTTGGAAACAAGGTCATTGCAGATGTAACTAGTGAAGATGAGATCATGCTAGAGTAGGGTGGGCTTCCAATCCAATATGATTGATGTCTTTATAAAAAGGAGAAATCGGCGCAGAGACACGCACAGGAAGAATGCCATGAGAACATAAAGGCAGATGTCAGGGTGATCAAGCCAAGGAATCCCAAAATTTGCCAGCAAACCACCAGAAACGAGGAGAGAGGATTGGAGCAGATCCTCCCCTAGTGCCCTCAGAGAGAGCATGGTCCTGCCGACACCTTGATCTTGGACTTCTAGCCTCCAGCACTGTGAGAGGATATACATTTCTTTTGGTAAAGCCACCAGTTTGTGACACTTTGTTACAGCAGCCCTTAGTAAACCCAAGCAACAAGAAAGAGGTCTTTGATACCTGCTGGTTGTTGGTCCACCTTCTTGTTTAATCTTCCAGCGGACAGAGAACACAGCTTAAAACTTTGCTTTTACACTAAATGTTCAACAGTAGTCATCTAATAAGTGCCACTGAATGACGTTACTATTCAACTACACATCTGAAGTATTGAAATGTAAGCAATGCATTACAAAACAAACACGGAGAGATCTGAAACACAGATGACTCCCCAGGACTCTATGAGATTTCGTTTCCTGGCTCACACATTACTTTGTCCTATTGTCATAAATATCATATTTTAAAAACAATTATCATCAAAAGAAGACGACTTACCTTTAGTTTCTAAACTCTCAAGAGTAGTCATTTTTAAGCAGTGAAAATGCACCCCAAGACCTCTACTGAAAAACCTAAAAATGTAAAAAATGAAAAAAATTAAAACAATACCATATAAACACATTTACTAAGTCCCTATCATTTAAATATGATATTCTACTTGCTTCTGTATTCAGTAACGTGCATTTAGAAAGGGGGTGTTGTTCCTCATATCCCTTCTATAACCTGTGATATTGTTATGGCTACCAAATGTCTCAAAAAAAAAAATTAGGGGTGGCTTACTTTGAAATGTCTGCTTCACTGTCCTCACCAGTATGCTCTAAATGATGGGATGTATGTCCTGATTTTAGTTCAGAAATAGCACCGAAGCTACTGTAGGGGCTTTTGTATCACTGATAAGGCAACAGGAGTTTTAAAGTAGAGTAACAACTTTCTCAGGAGGCATAAAATTGCTCACTATTATCAGAGAGGGGCTGCTGCTGAGATGTTTAGCAAGCAACAAAAATACTCACGACGACTCCGTTTACACTTTCTCGGTAATAAAACTGAAACGGCATAGCTTATGCTCTCAGAAATGTATACGTGGCCTTACAGCATAGACTAAGATTCACCGGAGAACACGAAAACGGAGGCGATCCTACTGCCACGTTAATATATTAAGAACTGTACGCTACACGACAACTGGTTTCATCACAAAAATGCCCGCTCTGAATACTCGCTATAACTGGACGCTCTTCCTCAAGTTACAAACGCTCCTTCTACTGCTGTGAAAACAGGTCTCCAAAAGCCCCTTCGAAGGAGCAATCAGCCCGGAAAGAGCGCTGGGAAGACGCGCAGCGAAACGGACGAGCACAGCAGGTGCCTACCGGCAAATACCGAGGGTGTGCGGAGGGCAACAGGCAGGAAGGCGGCAAGTGGGACGCGACACCTTCTGCCGTCCCGGGAAGTCGCATCCCAAGTCCCGGTCTGAACAAGCCTTCCTGGCACAACAGGCAGCCTTTCCCTAGATCCAAGGAGACGGAACCCCCAAACTCTCACCTAGACCTCGGTCCCTGTCTACATCCCCCCCCCCCCATCCACCAGCCCCTTCTCGGTCTTACCTCTGAGGTCCCCACCCTTCCTACGCCCGGGGGCTTCGGCTCCGTATCACTGGGCTAACTTCCCCGCGCAGCCCTCTTCCATTCGGAGGAGACCCGCCCAGGCCTTCCAGACATCAATCAACTCGCTAACAGTCACTTCCGATTGGTTCCTCAGGGTTTCGTTTCCGGGGCGTTTCCAAAAGGAAAAGGTACACACACGCTGTGGTGCGCCTAAACGCAAGTAACACAGGCCTTTCGGTGTAGGGCTTCAGGAAGTGAAAACTGGGTAGATGTCTATTTAAAAATTAACTTGGGACTATTTGGATCCCGACCGCAGACACGCTTGAACTTCCGGGTCATCTGTCAACCGAACGGAAGTGATGATTCAGGAAGACGTAGGCGGCGTTCCGTCGCCCCGGGCCACGGCGTAAGGGGGCGGGTCTGCCGGCCGGGGGGGCGGAGCTTCCGTCGTTCCCAGCGATTCCAGGGACGGCGGAGCGGGGCCGTGGCGCACAGCGTCCAGAAGTGGGCGGGTGTCTGTTGCCAGAGTAACCGGGCGTTGGAGTCGGTGCTGGTGTCCTGTTCTCAAGGCGTTGCCTGTTTCCTTGTGCTGAGCTTGAGACGATGGTGAGTGCCAGGCGAGGTCAGAAGTACGGCTTCGGGGTCCTGGTTACGCAGCGTCCCGGGCCCAGGGCCCGGGGTGTATGGGCACCCAGGGCGTCCCCGTCCCTTCCAGCTGCGCCCCATTGTCTCTTCCTTTCCTGGGGCTGTCGCTGCGGTATCCTCTGTCTCCCTCTGTCTCGCAGCCCCACTTTGGTACTGCTGAGCCTCTAGGTTAGAGAAAGTTTAGGGGTAAGACACCGAGTCAGAATAGGTGAAACATTATTTCGAACAAACTTTTTAAATGTTTGCATGTTCACCATTGCATTTTCCAAGCTCTCCGCTTCACCCTAGCGCGCTTCATTTCTGAGCATGTGGTGGTGTGTGCATGACTGACGGCTCCCAGTCTCCCTAG